GCTGTGCGTAATCGTTGGGCGTGATCAGCGCGTCGGTGCCGTCTAGCAGCTTATCTGTGATTGCAAAAGCACGGCCGACTGCACCGCCTCGGACGACACGTAAGGACTTCCTTCAGTAGCTATGAGCGGCACGTAAGCCAACTCAGCGGTTACCTGTTGCCCGAACGCTCCCGTCAACTTTATCTGCGAACCCGTACCATCGTACTGAGGTACCACTGCCTTTCTGATGACGCTCACCTCCGCTCCTGAGTCTACCACGACATTTAATGATCGACCTGAGCTTTTAAGCGGTACAGTTTCCAGTGAGGGTTGTTTCTGCTCTTTGCGCTGCCACAACCTGTCTGCCATTGCTATTTCTGACCCGAATGCAGAAGCCGTCACCCTCGCGACCACTGGACCGTTTTTTGTCCTGCTGGCCTAGTGCCTTGCCTTGCACCTGAGCCCTTATTGCGGCAATTCCTGGCAATGTGGTCGGCAACCTTACACTCAAAACATCGCCTTTTCCCTTTTCCGTCCGTGGGTGTATGTACTGCTGTTTTAGCTTTCTTTTGTCACTCCTCTACATTCGCTCTCTTTTGTGCTGCCTTGCACTTCTCGCTCTCCTCGAATATCTCCGCGAGCCTAGCCACGCCACTGGGCAGCAAAAAGGACTCCTGTTGCTCACAAATGACATACGCTCTCGCTTCCGGGCTCAAACATTCTTTCAAGCGATCCGCGACAACTAGCTGCTTGAGTTCCTCGAACGTGCCTACCTTTGAACTCTGGACATAATAGTCGAAATAATTCTCAAGGCACACGGCAAACTGATCCCAGGACTCCCTTTCTCCCTTTTTCGATCCTGCAAACAGCCTCTTGTACTCCGCCGCCGAAAGCCTGAGACCCTCCAAAATGCTTGACTTAAGCTTAACATAAGCTTTGCGCTCCTCTGCTGTAAGCCTGCACAGCAGCCCGCGTGCCCTTTCACTCAACTGTGGCAAAACTAGCCCGGCCCACCATTCGCTCGGAACTTCATACGACTCGAGCGTTGCCTCAACATCCTCGAACCACATTGGCGCAAGCGCCTCTTGGTTCGGCATTGGTGCCAGTACACCCTTTAACAAGCTTGCAAATTTCAGTCGCCTGTATTCCTCTGACCTTCCGCCAAGCGCTACACCATCATCGCTCTCGTTGGACTCTGCCCCATTATGGGCTCGTAGCCGCTGGCTTTCCAGCATCAAGCGCTGCTTCTCCGTTTCCGCCTCAGCAATTTTTAGTTGAAGCTGGAGCAGCGCTAGCTGCTGTTCCGACGCCGTATCTGACGTGCCACTACCATGACCCCCCGTGCCGCTGTCGTCGACTCCCAACGCCTGCAAGTTTCCTGCCCCGTCCCCGTTCATTTCCGAGTTGTCCCTTTCTCTGTCTCGCAAATTGTAATGCTTTGTCATCGCCTGCACCCAACAGAAAATTAAGAGGTACCCGCCTGAAGCTGCCTTGCGGTGCGCTCATCCTCCTTGGAATCCGGTGGACTAGCCTTGCTTCGTTGATCCCGCAGCGTGGTAGTCAGTTGAAGGTGGTTGTCGTCAGTCTCGGCCGATGTAGCTCCCCGCTGTCCTCCTCAGTTCAGCCATGCAGACCCTGCCGACTGCGCCAGTTACGTTCCGTTTGGTTCTTTCCACTCGCCTTTCGCTTGTTGCGCGACATTTGCTGCTGCCGCCAAGGAAGCAGAAGATGAGAACTTTTCATCTGCTGGCACCTTGAGGAAACAACCGCTCCGACATCATCTGGATATAGAGACGTTTATTCGTTTCTCCTTCTTTTTTCCACTGTCCCTGCACCCCTGGTTTTATCCCGTCTCCCCATTCAACCACTCTTACAGTCCAATCGTAACGCACCACTCTTATAGTCCAATCGGAACGCACAGATGTGTCTCTCCTCGCCACAACCTCGAAGACCCACCGCCTCTTGCCCACTCATCGGTTCTCCGCCGTCGCTCAGGTTTCTTTCACACCGGTTCCCGGAATGGTCGACGATGGGCGTTGCCATGTCGTGGAAAAGCGCCTCCGAGTAAGTTCCCGCGATGCCGGGTTGACAGGCCATCAATACAATTGGCCTGTGCGCCAATGCCGTCGCCTCCGCTGATTCTGATTGTCCGGCGGACGCGTAAGTGTACCTTCCACGTGTACCTTCCACGTGTACCGGCCACCTGCAGCCTGGCTTGGTCTCCTGTAAGGCGCCATAATTGAGCCCGACAGCGGCACGGGAGTCGTCGCGTCCTTTGTGGTCAGCAGACAGTCCTCGTCCCGCATTCCGGTGGCCTGCTTGCTGTTGGCGAGGGGTCGCCGGCCGCGGGGTGGGTAACATAAGGTATTCGGGGAACGCACGAAGTTCAAGCCCAACAACAGTGGTCTACCGATCAGGACATAAGCATACAGATGCTGACTGCCTGTCTCATGCTCCTATTTCCCCGACGTCACCTGACACCGAACAAGATTTACCGTTTCTTGGCATCGTCGATGTGGTCCGGATGGCTGAGCTTCAACGTGAGGACACTGAGCTACTACCTGTCATCCAGCATCTTCAAGGAGAAGATGTTATCGTCCCACGCCAGCTCTCACGTGGATGATTAACATCGTATTGCTTGTAGAACAATGTTCTCTACAAGAGAAATCTTGAGAGCAGCCAGGAAACTTTTCTCCTCACCGTTCAAACGGCACTGCGTGAGGAAGTTTTGCAGGCGTGCCATGACGATCCTTCTGCCGGTCACTTAGGCTTTGCTAAGACATTAGCGCGCATCCGACAAAAGTACTACTGGCCGCAGCTGTATTCGTCCATTCAGCGCTATGTCCGCACCTGCCGTGGCCGTCAGAGCCGTAAAGTTCCACCCGCAAAGCCCGCCGGTTTCCTCCAACCTTTGGATCCACCTCGAGCACCGTTTCAGCAAGTAGGAATGAATCTTCTTGGTCCATTCCCTACGTCATCCTGAGAAAATAAGTGGATAATCGTCGCAACCGACTATCTGACTCGCTATGCAGAAACCAAAGCTGTGCCTAGTGGAACTGCAGTTGAAGTCGCCAGATTCTTCGTCCAGAACATTGTTTTGCGACATTGTTTTTTTTTTTTGTGGGGTTTAACGTCCCAAAACCACTATATGATTATGAGAGACGCCGTAGTGGAGGACTCCGGAAATTTAGACCACCTGGGGTTCTTTAACGTGCACTCAAGTTTTGCGACATTGTGCACCTGCTGTTCTCATAACCGATCGCGGAGCAGCATTTACGGCAGAGTTATTGCGACAAGTCACCAAGCTGGCGCACACTAACTACCGGAAAACAACAGCTTATCATCCCCAAACAAACGGCTTGACGGAGCGGTTAAACAAAACAATGACCGACATGCTATCTATGTATGTTGATGAACAGCACAAAACGTGAGAAGAAATTTTGCGGTACGTCACGTTTGCTTATAATACCACTGCGCAAGAGACCACAGACCTAACACCATTCGAGCTTGTTTATGGCCGTCGCGTCACAACACCATTAGACGCCATGCTACCCGTAGACCAGGACACCAGCGGAAATGACAGCGTTGACGACTTCGTTGAGAAAGCCGCAGAAGCCCGGGATGCTTGCACAGAACCGCATTTAGATGCAGCAAGGTATCAACGCTCGCTGTTACAACCAAGGCCGAAGGAACGTCCACTATCAACCAGGTGACTATGTATGGATGTGGACACCAGTTCAACATCGTGGGCTTTCGGAGAAGCTATTGCGACGCTACTTTGGGCCCTACGAAGTTGTGCGCTGCCTCAGTGACGTAAATTATGAGGTAGTTCCTCAAAGCTTGATTGATTGATTTGTGGGGTTTAACGTCCCGAAACCACCATTTGATTATGAGAGACGCCGTAGTGGAGGGCTCCGGAAATTTGGACTACCTGGGGTTCTTTAACCTGCACCCAAATCTGAGTACACGGGCCTACAACATTTCCGCCTCCATCGGAAATGCAGCCGCCACAGCCGAAATTTGATCCCGCGACCTGCGGGTCAGCAGCCGAGTACCTTAGCCACTAGACCACCGTGGCGGGGCGTTCCTCAAAGCTTGGATACCAGTTTTAACTGGAGACGTCCACGTCCAGAAGTAGTCCATGTTGTACGGATGAAAGTACCTTAGCCACTAGACCACCGTGGCGGGGGGTTCCTCAAAGCTTGGATACCAGTTTTAACTGGAGACGTCCACGTCCAGATGTAGTCCATGTTGTACGGATGAAACCATACCACGCCCGCGACTCATGAACACGTCGAACTTTTCTTTTATTATCCACGACAGCGTGGGCTTATGTTTTTGTTGTTTTTTTTCGTTGACGTGACCATCTGTTTTCATGGCCATCTCTAGCATCTTAGTCAATCGACCGGGACAATCACCCTTGAAAGGGGGAATCGACGCAAGGTAGGCTGGCAACAATAGTGGCCAGCCTTTGAGGAGGATAACGAAGTACTTCTGTGGTCGCGTGCTCTAATGTTCATGCTTTTGGCCTTTGGTAACGAAAGAAAACGCCCTGCTTTTGTGCCTGCGTCCCTGTGCCTTTGTGACAATATCATGTCCAAAGGAGGACACATATACTACACGGTTAACCAGAGCTGCCTACGAAAATGAGGAAGTAACAAAAGAGATCAAAAGACAGAATAGAAGAGAAATAAAGAGAAGAAAAACAGCAAAGAGGGGCATAGGAAAAGATGACTGCCGATTTTCCCTGGGTGGGTCAGCTCCGGGGTGTCGTTTATGTGAAGCGGGGGCCAGAAGGGTGTGTTGCCTCTGCCGGGGGGGGGGGGGGGGGGGGGGGCTTGAAGGTCCATGCACCCGACGTTGGCTTGACCTTTAGTATCCCCTTTTCCCCGGATACAGCAATGCCACGCACGGCTGGGCGTGGGAGGGAGTTGAAACCCCCTGTTAGCTCTGGTTGATGGTTCATCACAGAGAGGCAATATTTCTAGCCTACTTAAGTGATAGCTCCTCGCATTACTTACATTTGTCTTAATAATTCTGGTATTTTATCTTCATATAAGTCCTCAATATATGCCATCGGTTTTTCACCCAGCTCAGGCAATGTCAATATCATTTTGACGAGGTCTTGAAACATCTGAAAAGGAAACTTGTGAAAGTAAAACTGATACCAAAATGCAAACACTTCCTTGCATGTGAATAAAAACGGAATGCTACAAGTGCGAAATGTTCATGTAGCTGTCCTGCGTTAATTTTGGAAGATAAAGAGAGAGATTAAAAAACTGCATCATACATACTACAAACTGCTACCACACCTAAGCAACAATGTTAGCATAGTTTATTCAATGTTAGCTTACCTGCGGGGCCGCCAAGCCAATCCTTATAGATGGTTTCAAGATTGCAGGCGTTGTGCCCCAGAAAAACTTCTGGTCATTTCATTAACAAGCTCGCTACATCGAAACTGAAAGGATGTTTCCACGTTTGTTCAAAAGTAAAGAAAGTCTCTTATTAGTTTTTCGGATAAAAGGAACGTGCATAATATTCAAGGCAATCTCTTGTAGTATTTTATATAGCTGAAAAGAAATTTATTTGAATGTATTTTGCAAAATGAGAGAAGGAAAGTGTAGAAAATCAGCGGGCTATTTTCTAACGCTCTTCTTGCCCACTGATGCTATTCTGGCACATCAGTGGACAAATCCAAATGTCATCAAGGGTCTGTGTTTGTAAACAGTGAAAGGGTCTATACTGAGAAAAAGGTACACTGACATTAGTGGCTTGAAAGTTGCTGCTGTAGAAATATGAATGTGTAATAATAGACTGACATGTTACTGCCATCAAACCAAGATCAACAAGCGTCAACTAAAAGGAGTACTCACGCAAATTTTAAATATTTTTGGATTGTTGTTCAAATGGAAGAAAGCACTGGTGCCGAGAACGCAAAAAGAGTATTATTGTACTTGGGAATGCACCAAATAAACATTTAATAGTTAAACCTTACCTTAAATAAACACTTTCGGTGTCGATACCAATGGGCTGGCTTCTCAAGGACGTCTCATGGCAGTGTGACATTACGGAAAGATAGCAACTCACAACACACTAGCTGAAGACTTGTAAGTGCATGGCACATGAGTATTATGGCCCAGTGACCCCCACAGTGTTTTCTGCGATTTAGGCGGCATAAAGGACACAGAGTTCCCAAACTAAATGGAACTGTATTGACTGATTGTGATAATGTCCATTGTAGTGGGACTGGCTTGCTGATGCTCAACGACGAAAACTTGTAAATGAAAGTAAAATATTTCAAACGTGTTGTCCGACTCTGGTGTTTGGAGAGCATTAACACTCCACACCAAGGAAATGAAAAATGCCCCTTTTACAATATTTCATTATCGTGTCGGTTCTTCCTTAAGCGTACGTGCCTTACAGATTGTGATAACAAAACCTCTCTGCACATTATGGCCTTCCTAAACTTTGCTGCCACATTTTTTCATGGTGTCATTACCACCACATGAGCCGTTGCACCAACAGCTAAAAGCAACGTGTCCAAAAAATAACACAGGCTGAAAGCACAGTGGAATCAGCAGTTTTACTATTGAAAAATAAATCTTTTCCCCCAATGCAGAAATGAAAAAAACAATATGCTGAAGACCCCACTTTGTTTAGGGCCTTTGGACAGTGCTTCTGATGTCAAATTCACACAAAATGAAGTTGTAATGCACCAACCTGAGTCTCTTTTTTTTTTTTGTGGTTCTAACGGGCACACAGTGTTTCCATTTTTGAATTTCTCACAATAAGTTCATCGTAAGTACGTACAATATATTCTTCATTTCCAAGCAATAAACGTCTTCAGCATAATATGTCACATCTGCTACCAAAAATTGTCGAAGTACGACGCTATAACCGGCACGAAAGCAGATTTCAAAAACAAGTGAGAATATTAAATGCTCTCCTTTTCCAACTTTGACTGTTGCTTCAAACATAATCAAACCCCATAGCAAGCAAAAATGCAATAAAAACATGCACAATTAGGATGCAGGGCACCTCAGCAAGGCAAAGGAAGTCAAACAATTATGAACCTTTCGATGGTTTCACAAAGTGCCATGCTGCAAGTACGGCAAAAAGATCCACTATATGATAATGAAACGTCCGTAACATCATAAGTGCTTTGAACAGAGCCGTTAGCATTTGCAAACATAATTTTGAATTATTAGGAGAGAATATGCATGTCAATGTTTACAATCTTCTATAGCACTAGTATTGATTCTATATTTAGCAATGTGGATGCAGATTCTATAAAAAAAGGTTCAGGTAGCCATTGCAACTTACAACTGTTATTTGAAAAATGAAACCAAGCTACCTGATTTCCTTTTTTTCTTCAAAATTTTCACGAATGGTAATGCTTTGAAATAATTATTTCTAGTTATTCATTCTTATTTCTTAATTATTTTTATTTATTTAGAAATACTGCCAATCTCAAACCAGTCAAAGCAGGAAAAGGGGGGTTACAGCAGAATACATAAAAACAGTAAACTTACTACACTATGTTGTACTACAATGCCCTAAAATACATAAGTGCAAACATAAATTAACTACAGATTATACAATTAGAGGATCATTCCATTAGAGTAACAAAAAGAAGAAAAAAACTATACATAATGAAGCATCTGCCCCCCCGCCCCCCCGCCATAGTCTAGTGGCTAAGGTATTTGGCTCCTGACCCCGTCGCCGAATCGAAACCCGGCTGCGGCAACTGCATTTTCGATAGAGGCGGAGATCCTGTAGGCCTGTGTACTCAGATTTGGGTGCACGTTAAAGAAACCCAGGTGGTCGAAATATTAGGAGCCCTCCACTACGGCGTCTCTCATAATCATAAGGTGGTTTGGGGACGTTAAACCCCACATATCAATCAATCAATCAATCAATCAATCAATAATGAAGCATCTAAATAGAACTCGTTATTAATCAACTGCCAGCATGGATTCCGTTCTGGACTTTCCTGTGTCACACAACTAACAAAGTTGACACATGACTTGTCAAGTGCATTAAACAGAGGTGACACCATTGACTGCATATTTCTCGATTTACAGAAGGCTTGATTGATATGGGGGGTTTAACGTCCCAAAACCACCATATGATTATGAGAGATGCCGTAGTGGAGGGCTCCGGGAATTTCGACCACCTGGGGTTCTTTTAACGTGCACCCAAATCTGAGCACACGGGCCTACAACATTTCCGCCTCAATCGGAAATGCAGCCGCCGCAGCGGGGATTCGAACCCGCGACCTGCGGGTCAGCAGCCGAGTACTTTAGCCACTAGACCACCACGGCAGGGCTATTTCCAGGAGGCTTTCAATGTTGTACATCATGATGCATCAATTGAAAAACTGCCATGGTATTGTATTGACAGCTCAGTGATTTTAAGGATTAAAAATTATTTACAGATTAGAAACTTACGAGTTATAATCAATAATGAAAAATCAGGCGAGGCTGACGCTACCTCAGGAGTGCCGCAAAGATCGGTACTTGGCTCCTTGCTCTTCTTGATTTATGTGAACGACATCAGTGATATTGATTCTTCTGTAGATATCGATTCTTCTGAACGCGTGTTTGCAGATGACTGAGTGTTGTATAGAATAATTCATGACAAAAGTGATTGTGCAATTCTACAAGGTGATATACAGTAAAACCTTGTTGACACGTTCCCGCTTAATACGATTTCCCGGCTCCTATGCTCTATATCGCGAAAACTTAAATGCCCCCATAAAGCTGTTTAATACATTCCCAGAAAATACGATTCTTTGGCAGCAACGTTAAGCATTGTGGCAAACTGCAGTCGTATGATATGTTCTGCAGGCGAGAATTCTGATTCGTCTGTGCAAAAAAAACTGCTCTTGCATGTTTGCGAAGCGCCAAGTAGCAGACTGCTGCCACAAGTGACGGCGGTTTTTTTGCAGAGTTCAACTGTCAACTCTCCCACACAGAGACCCGTCTGAACTGTCAAAGTATAATGGTTTTCAAAAAATGCCTGTTATTTTCTGCAGCACAGTGGTTTTCATGATTCGGTGCGGCCTGTAAAGCTACCGGATCATCGGTACACAGTTAATGCCGGAACTCGGCCTCCCGACCCTTTTTTCATGCCCGTACTACGCCATTAGCACGGCAAGTGCGAGCTCTCTCACTTTTCTACTGTCGGCGCTCTGCGATAGTTGTCCCTGGCCTACCTATGTGGAGGTTTTCCACAGCACGTGTTCTCTGCACTACGGCAGCAACAAGATAGACAACATTACTCACAACGCAGCCAATAGCGCACGTGCTTCAGGACGCCGAGAACAATGTAACTGATATCACAGCCAATAGAGACCACTCTCCACTCTGACACCAATGCCGAACATATTAGGGATAAGCAGACCGTGCCAGGTCAGGGTGTGTACCAATTTGATTTTTCCAACTTCCCGGACTTTTCCAGGTTTCGCATTATGATTAAAAGCAAATTCCATGACCGTCACATCACCACTAATAATAATAATAATAATACTAATACAGTTGAATACGCGAGCTATGAGCCAGATGAAGTTGAGAGCTGATGGGCAGTCAGGTGGTGCTCTACAGTGCTAAGAAAAAGCAACAAAACACCTGCTTAGAGATAGCGCAGCAGCCAAGCATAGAATAACAAAACTCGGTTCGAGTGCAGATACCGGACCATTCCCAATTATATATTTAATTAAAACGCATGATAAGCGAATCAATTAAAGAAAAAAAAACAGGTCAGAGGTGTAGCCCACTGGCGACCATCCTGACCAGAGCAGAACTGCCCACCCTGAAGCAGTACTTGGCCACTACTTCTCACGACTACAGCAATGAATTCTTGGCCCTCAGTCCCTAGCAGCTGTGAAACAATTGTCCAAGGCGGCGGTCAGACCTGCGACGCAGCGGAGAGTGATAAAAATATTTGGGATAGGACAGGCCACCACTGTAATCTGAACTTGGCTAGCTGCAACACTAGAATACTACCTAATGAGGCTAGTCTAGCTGTCCTATACAAGGAATTAGAGGGTGTTCAATAGGACATAATAGAGCTCAGCGAAGTTAGGAGGACAAGTGAGGCTTATACAGTGCTGAACACAAGAATATACCTAGC